TCAAACTCAATTCTTCCATGTTTGCACAGCAAGCACTTGGTCGAGTACCCTGTCTCCTCAGCCACATTTCTTTTAAAAATAGCTCTGAAGTTCACATTCACCACTTGTTTGGAGGGGGTGGGAAGACACTCCCTTGGGATAAGGGTCCTCCATACACAGAAAATCACAGCCTTTGTTGGGATAGAGGGTCATGTCTTGATACCCTTTGTTGGGGGACACTGGGAGGCTCTGGACCTTTCTATGGCTTTGAATGAGTTTTGCACATACTGTTAAACCATTGTGAGTACCTGTGTGTATTTGTAGTGTCATGTCCTGAAAACACTGTTTCCTTGTAGTCATCCACTGCTGCTGACTCTTAGTCTTCCTGCCTTATTTTGCAAGTATCCCTGAGCTTTGGAGAAGGTGTGTGATATAGACATCCCGTTTAGGACTAAGCACCCTGGAATTTCTTATTCTCTGAATGTTGTGGGTCTGTTAATCACCATCTACTGCAAAAAGTTGTTTCTCTAATGAGAGCTAAGAGATCTGCTAATCTATGTGTATGATAAGTCATTAGTTTAATACTAGGCACAATTAGCACTAATATTAGTAGGTTCTCCCCTAGGGCTTATGACTTGTCTAGCCACAGATTCTTGACCCCATATGGGTTTCAACCTGTAGAGTGGACATTAAATCCAATCAGAAAGTGGTTGGTTACTCTCATGACATTCATGCCACTTTTATACCAGTGGGAAAATCTTGACACAGATGGGTGAGACTGGTGATTGGTTTTCACCTCTGGTAGTGTGTACAGCAGCTTCCAGAACCATGAAAGCTAGTCAGTAAGGCTGAAGCTTCCAGGTGAATACCAGCTTGATTTCTTTGTGTTCTATGACTCAAGAATGCTGTGTCTTATGTCAACTTTTGGAGGGCAATCAAGAGTACTGGCAATAGCCTGTAGTGTTAGGGCTCTATGGGACCTCACTTCCCAAAGAGGTTATGCATTTCTGGTTCTATGCTTTATATTTGTTAGCCTGTGGTATCTAGTGGGGACATTGTTGTGGACATCAGAGGGTGGTCTGACTCTCCTTTGTTCTATAGGAGAGAACAGAGGCTCACATAGAAAGAGGAACCTAGTTTATGCTATACATGTAGAACCCAGAGTAAGACTGACCTTCCAGATGAGGCAGGTCCTTGAAGCTGCCTCACCTCTGCCATTATACTCACCAGGTACACTCCTGGCCCTCCACACTGGCTGAGTAAAACTAGTCTGATGGGAGATGTCATTCTGTAACTATGTTTCTCTTATTGGTTAATGAATAAAGCACTGCTGGCCAATAGGAAAGCAAGATAGGAGGGACTAGGAGACAAGGAAGATTCAGGGATAGGTAGTGGGATTCAAAATGTAGGACTGAGAGAGAACAACTGCAGACCCTCTCTCTCCGGTAAGATAAGACCGTGGAAATACTTAGATTAATATCTAAGACAGAGCTAGCCAATAAGAAACGCTAGTAACAGGCCAACAGCTTTATATCTAATACAGTGTCTCTGTGTGTTATTTGGGGCTGGTGTGGCTATGGGACCAGGCTGGGGGAAAAACAGCTTGTCGTAACACTAGTCTCATCTAGAAAATGAGGCAGCCCCTCCTAGTGAGTCAGATCATTAAAATAAGAAATGGCACCCTCCATGGGTGATACTCTCAGCCAGTCTTGGGTCCAGAATCCTTCCAAAGGGAGAGGTGGCTACCTCAGAACCAGGAAAGGGAATCCACAGACTCTGCTAGAAGGCCCTCAGGCTGGGGGTTCCTTTGGTCTCAGAGACAGAAAGCTTGTCTAATTGCCTCTCTTGATCACAGTTGTTTCCTCCCCAGAAACAGCCCCAGTTCCAGGCTGCCCAGGGTTAGGGTGTAGCAGTAAACAGCATAGCAGATCCCACAGGCTGCTGGGAGCAGGAGCTGTTCCAAGTGACCGACCACAGGCCCTGGAGGAGTTTGGAGCTTAAGAGCTTCCTGTGAGCCTTGGGGCCCCATGTTGAGAAAAGGGGTGAGTGGGGACCATCCACTGCTGGTTTTGATCTTAGGATGGACAGACAGGTAGTCTCAGGGTTCCTGTCCAGATCTGGCATGGGAGGGGACAGAGACTTTGGAAATGGTGCCTATGGGACTTCCTGCTGTTGCTGTTATATACAGGTTCAGACACAGACTTCATTTGGAGGAATAATGACATGGTATTTCCTCACTGTGCTCCAAGATCACACACTCTTATTTTGAACAGCATCTCATGTAATCCAGGCTGACCTTGATCTATGTTGCTGAGGATAACCTTGAACTCTCTAATCCCCCTCCACCTCCCATGTTCTGGGATTGTAGGTGTGCTGGCTAAGCAGCTCATTCTCCATCTCAGCTCTCAGGGGCCTTTCACACCATATTTTACACCATATCCAGGGCCTCTCTCAGGACAAGGCCAGTGGAGAAAGCTAGCACCTCCTGGTTCAGACAGGGCAACTGAAGATCAGAGGGTAACTCCCTCAAGGTGACACAGTGAGGGAGGACAGGGCAAGGGTGGAATCAGGGACTGAAACTCTGCGTTGGCTCCAGAGATTAAGGCGATTAGTTAAATCCTGGGACTCGAGCTGGGTTTATCAGAGGCGCCACTCTGGTGGCCTTGGGGGTGATTTGGCGTCCTATACCTCCGGGTCTGTCTCAGTGGCTTGGGACACCTGATAACTACCTTGGCTTGTGGCCCACATGTCTGATTCATGCTGATGGAGTTGGGTGGAGAGAATCTGGGATGAGGTGGACAGCAGGAGCCTTAGGGGCCACCTTTGTTTTTCTGATGGAGCCTTCCCCTAAAATAAGCCCTTGCTGGGCACATCAGGTACACTGGGACATGTGTCTTCTTCCCTAGGACCATTGGCCTGGGCAGATGATAGGGAATGAGCCAGAAGGGCGGAGAATCAGCAGGCCTGGCTACCTGAAAGGGCTGAGGGCAGCACAGGGCATTCCTCACATGTGTAGTGGGAATCACATTTGCATAGGGTCTGCCAAGCTATGGTCTGTGTCCTCCCATTTGGGGGTCAGTGCACTGCTCTCCAGGGTGGAGCAGGTAAAGCCACTGTCTTCCCCATGCACAGCCCCACAGTCACTTCCCCTACTCTCTGGAACCTTCTGTAACTTCAAGGGGCTATGGAGGTGTCCCCAAGCACCTCAGAGCATGGCAGGTTCCAGCTGACTGACACCTGCACCACATCTCGATGGCTGACCCCAGCAAGTGCTGTATCAGTGTGTGTGAACACATAGTACATTAATGGGTGTGGACACACAGTGCATCAGTGGGTGTGGACACAGTACATCAGTGGGTGTGAACACATAGTGCATCAGTGGGTGTGGACACAGTGCATCAGTGGGTGTGAACACAGTGCATCAGTGGGTGTGAACACAGTGCATCAGTGGGTGTGAACACAGTGCATCAGTGGGTGTGAACACAGTGCATCAGTGGGTGTGAACACACAGTGCATAGATAGGATTCAACCTGCCAAGAAAAGTGCAGAATTTATATAAAGCAAGAGATGAACCTTATTAAAAGATGTTGAAAATCCAGTGAGCAGTGCTGCAAACCAATTCTGTATTGTTTGGAAAAGGCACAGAAGGACTGCCCAGGAGATACTGTAAGGATAAGGCTACTCACTACAGCACAGGTGGGACACGTTTCTAGGTTGCAGTAACTCAGAGTTGGGTGTTTGTCAAACAACAAGAGTTACCCAGGCTGAGGCTATAGCTCAGTAGATTGCTTGCCCAGCACACACACAAAGCCCCAGGTTCCATCCCCAGTACCACATAAGCCAGGAGTCCCTGCAGTCTCAGCACTCAGGAGACAGCTAGGGGCATCAGAAGTCCAAGGTTGGCTATCAAGTACAAGGCAAGCCTGGGAGACGGGGGAGCTTGCCTCAGGAAAACACAGAAGAGCCAGAGGAATGTTCCACAAATTTTGGGGCAGGGCAAGGGGAGTGTTGTCTCTAGAAGTCCCTTCCAGTGTGGAGACCTAAAGGGTCCCATTGCTGGTGCTAGAGAAACCAGTCTGCCTGAAGGTCAGGCTCACGGCCCAGGGGCAGATTCTACAGTAGGGCAGGGCTTCCCAGGGTGCCTTCCCTGGAGCCAAGCCCATTTCCAATTTCTCCACCCTTCCAATGCCCAGCTAGGCCCTTGCCAGACTTTACCTCCTTTTTTTTCCCTGAAGGCTCCAGTTGCCACTGCTCCCATCCTGCTGGGGCCCTGTCCTAGGGCAGGGTCCTTCTGAGAGCACCTGCTCCTCTTATTGCCTGTCTGCAGCCAGAAGTCGACAGTACTACCAGTGACCACCAAGCATCTGCTGTGCTGTGCTATGATATGGGCTGGGACTTGTGTGGCTGGAGCTACAGTCAACAGCAATGTCAGGCACTATTTCTAGTATTGTACATGCTCACAAGTAAATGCTAGTGCAGGGTCAGATTAAACAGCCATGGCAAGGATACACAGGCAAAATATGGAGTTTGAGGAGCAGTTGTATCTGTACCTGGAGAAAATGAGATCCAGAATAGGTATATGTTTTACCCAACATCACACGTCGAACAGTTTAAAAGATGCTGAAACAGGGTGGCCAGTGTTGGGACCTCTCATTTCCTACATATGCTCTAATAGCCTTTGTCCTGTCCCTATTGTACAGATGTGGAGACTGAGGTTCCTAGGAGGGTGAGAGCTTGCTGAAGGTAACCCATAGGGGGAGACAGAGATCTGTTTGAATCCAGAGAGATGTCTTCTTTTCTGTGCAGGAGCTAGATTTCTTGGGGTTTGTTCCGGGGACTACTATTTGCTGACTATGAATTCCTATAAGTCACCCTGATTACTCTGAGCTGTCACTGTCCTCCTATGTGGGAAGGGGACAGTTGGGACTGTTATGAAGATATCCAGGTGCCTGACAGGCAATGACCTATAGTGTCCCCAAGCCAGTCTACCTCACTACATCATGGCCCAAAGACACTCACAGTTGGCTGGGACCAAATAATACACTTTACTCTCTAGGACAGGGGTTCTAGGTGCAAGTCTCTGGGAGGCGTGACAGAGCCATGCACACGCACACGGTACAGGCAGGTGAAGCGAGGGTTCCCCCAGTTGCTGGAGATCTTCACTTTGACAGCAGCAAAGCCCCTGGGTGGCTGGTTCTGGAATAAAGCCAAATAGTGGCAGCTCCCCCATAGACCTCTGCTCCACCCAGCAGCGTGGCCTTGGAAGAAAGAAGCTTTCCTATTTCACAGGTGTGGGGATGGAGTCCCAGAGAGGGGAATGGACTCAATGCTTGTTGGCTAGGGTGGGATGTGCCAAGGCCAGGATGCTGTAGGGAAGATGCCTCAGCCATGGGACCTTGGCAGTGTGATGCTGTGGGGCCCTCATTGAGCCACTGTGCCTCTCTGGGCCTCAGTTTCCTCTCTGTAAAATGGGAGTGATAATAGATGTTCCCCTGACTACTGTGGACATGAAAGATGCTCTTGGCTTATCAGCCCCTGGCACATCAAGGCTTCTCTGTAAACTTATGCCTTTCATTCCCTATGACCGGAGTAGGTGGAGATGGTGATTATCAAGCCCACTGCCCAGTGTGAAAAGGCAGAGCAGGACTGCTGGCTCATAATCCCAGCTACCAGTGAGACCAGCCTGAGCCACATAGTGAGATTCTGTCTCAAAGTTACAAAAGAGGGTTGGGAATATAGTTGAGTGGAAGACACTTGCCTAGCAAGTATGAGATCCTAGGTTCACCCCTCTGCTCTGCAATAAAGCCCAAACCAAAACTAAGGGCATGTTTTAGCCTCCCAGGGAATTACAGAGGGGACTTTGAAGCCCAGGGCCCAGATCTGGCGAGGCTGAGATTTGGACCAGCATTAGCCAGATCCCAAACTCAGACAGTCATGTTGCCAGCTCATCCAGTTCTGCTTCTGTCTGTGTCCAACTTCCCCTTCTCCAGGCCTCAGTTCCCTCTCTTATGGCCAGATCAGGTGGCAACTAGGGCCTCCCAGCATAGATGCCATAAGTTTGGAACCAGGAGAGCCCTACTTGATGGGCACTTTGTGTCCAACATTTGCTATCCAGGAAGGAGACGCAGCAAGAGGACTCCTGGAGGGACCAGAAAACAGGGAAGACTAGCTGGGGTCAGAAGGCTCTCCCTGGGTGCAACTCTGGGCCCAGGACAGCAGCTCCATGTTGCTTTAGCATCCTCATCTGCCAAAAAGGCTAGAGTGACTATGCACCTCTCAGGGCTGTAGGGGACTGGGGAGAGCTGTGCATGGGGTACACTCCGCAGATGCTCCTTTGTGGTCTACCCAGGTACCTGGAGTGGGAACATCTGGATCGTGTTTTCTGGCTGAAACTGGAATGCCCCCAGGAACACTTCTTCCCTGGGGGGGCTCTCCATTCCCTGTGGAACCAGACAACAGAGGTATGAAATGCAGCAGGCTAAGATTTGCACAACTCCTGGGATGGGGCAGGGGCTCCTCATCAATGTGGGCAGTGCCACAGCCTAGTGTCTGGGACAGGAAGGATCACTTCATGGGAATTGGGAAGCTGAGATCTATTTCCAACCCCACCAGTAAGGATCAGGCTGCTTCTAAGTCCTTCTCTGAATCCCATTCTACTGATAGCTCTATGGGTTGCCTCAGCATAATGAAGCCCAATGGTCTCATCTCCAAAAAGCCTTGGTTGAACTAGACAGCTGTCTATATTGGTTCCGGAAGGCTGAGATGTACCCCACTCTGGCCATTCCCCACTTAGCCTAGCCACATTCCCCTCAGCTATGTGGATGGACTCTCTCAAGGTTTGGTCCCTTCAGCCCAGCCTGGCTCCCGGTGGTTGTACTCACATAGATGACAAAGTCCTTTGGTGCGGTATCCAGGCTGCCTGACAGTGAGATGGTCTTGGGAATGTGCTGCAGTGTAAGGTTGGACAGGTAGACTTTCTGGGCCAAACGGATGGTCACCTGGCCACGGTCACCGGCGAAGGCCCAGCAGTTGCCAGGTGTCACATTGGGCTGGAAGACGCAGGTATGAGGGGGCTGTGTTCGGGGGGCTGGGGTCCCTATTTCCCTGATTCCCACATTTCCTTGATCCCCTGAAAGTGACTTCCTCCCTGTTCACAGAGCTTGGTTCTAGCAGTTCAGGAAGAGCAGAGCCTGAGTGGGGCCTTCTAGCCCTCATTCTTCTCAGTTCCTGTTCGCCTGTGCGTTCATTCCCTCATTCATTCATTCCTTCACTCCCCATACTTTGCATGCTTTCACTGCCACTTAGACTTGAATGTGTTCTCCCGATGCAGAGGAGGAAACCGAGGCTCAGAGCAGGGAAGTGAGAAAGGCCCAGCATTGCAGAGCTGTAAGTGTAACTTGGTAATTTGGCCCTGGGACTGGCTATTAACCGTCATGATCTGACCCACGAAATGAGAAACAGAAGCCCAGGATGGAAAGAGGGTTGGCTTCACAGCACACAGGGAAGCTACTCATCCAGTAGGTGCTGGGCTTCTTGAAGACACAGGACGCACCATCCTGATCTGGAGCTGTGATGCTCGGATAAGGGTTGGGGGCATTTTGGGAGGACTCCTATAGGAGCTGGGACAAGGGAGAGTAGCAGTTAGCTGGATAGGCATGCCCGCCCAAGGGAAGTCAGGTAGGCTGGTGGCATGGGAAGCTGGAGCTAGATGGCCAGGTCTGGAGGTGCAGAAGCCTGAGTGGCAGAGCCTTTGCCCCAGACCTGACTGAAGCTAGTGTTTTGCAGCCAGGTGTGGCCCCCGTATTGCCTGTCTCCCTGGCCAATGCTTGCTATGTTCTGTGATTCCTTTCCCCTGTCCCAGGCCCTCATTGCCAACTCATTGTACACTGGATGCTGCTTGTCCCCATCCACCCCAATAGGAGGCTTCCCCACCCCTGCAAGCCACTGTCCTGGATGGACTCTGGGAGTTCCTTGAGGGTGGCCTGAGGCTGGGGCACTGGCCCAAGCTGATGAGATCTCAGTGGTTTGTGTTGTTCTGGGGCTTAGATAGGCCTGTTCCTCTCCCAGGGCTTCAGTTCCTCCATCTGGAAGGCAGAGTTTTCAGAGGGGCGAGTATTTGAGGGCGGGCTTTGCCACATACTGCATGCCCAAGTGATCTGGTGTTTTGGCCTGGTATCCTCCTTTGCAAAGGGACCTCACACCTCAAGGTGGCTTGAGGGTCCTTAGACCCCAAAATGTCAGGTCTGGGTGGGGGTCACTGTGTCCTCCTCCTGCCAGAGCCCTCCCCGTGGCCCCTCCCTTCCCCACAGCACTCATCCTGGCCCCCCCTCGCCTTATTGCTCCGTCCTTCCTGCTATTTTCAATCCTGTCCCTCCTCTGCTGCCGGCTCCTGTTACTAGCCCTCTCCTGGCCCTTTCCTGCCATCCCCTGCCCTGCCCCCTGCCTCGAGGATCACGTCCGGGGGCTGTGCGTAGTTCCACAGCCGGATCCAGTTCCAGTAGGAGCGCGCCTTGTCGTGGTTATATGTGGCTGACGTGTGCTCGAAGTCGATGCTGGCCCCTGTATGGAGGGGGTTATCTCAGCCTCTGCTGGAGGGAGACTCCTCCTGAGGGCACACTCCTGCATGGGCTGAACCCCTGCCCTCTCTGGAGCTCAGTGTACCCCTCTAGGCAATGGGGTGAACACTGTGGTTAGTAGTATAAGAGTGGCTTGCCCTTATACTACTAGTGTGTTGGGAACAGCTGCATGCGTGTGCAGGGTGCAGAGGGGGCCTGGCTTGAAAAGTGGAGGGAGGCCTGAGGTGGTTCTGGAGAGGAGTTCTTGCATCTGATCCCACATTTCACTGAGGACTGAGGTGTCGGGATCAGCCCGTGTTGCCTGATTGGGTCCTATCCCCATCCTCAAGAAGCCTGAGCTCTCTCTTGTGGCCTCATCTCATCGATCTTCCTGGCTATGTCTTTCCTCATTAGGTCTCAATCCAAGTGTCTCCCAAGCAGAGAGGGCTTGCTTTGCTAGACACCTGCTCTATTTCTCCTGAAGCCACTTTCTGACTGTCATTGGGCCCACAGTGTCTCCTCCGTGCACCAAGCCCCAGGTTTGGGAAATGTAAGGGGTGAAGGGTGGTGGAGGGGCGTGGGTAGAATTGAGGGACCTAGGTTCCTGTTGCCCACCCCATCAGAGAGGGGAAACTGCAGACGGAAACCAGGAGGGAGCAGAGGTCGGCTCTGAGGCTGAACTTCACAGTAGCAGCGGCATGTAACCTTCATGAAGGGTTTCTGAGGTAGGTCAGTGGTAGGCCAATGGGGGAGGCAGGTCACTTACCTATGGACTTCAGGGCAAAGTCTGGCTTTTCAATGTAATCACCTTGTATCATCTTCATGATTTTCTGGGCCATTTTTTGCTGAGAAGGCAGAAAACATAGGCTTTGTCCTGGTATATTCTTATAGATTATGAGCCCCATCTGTGTGTCCTGGGCAGATGGCAGGTGGTCATAGGACACCTCTCCCACTTTCAGAGGCTGTGGATGGCCCTGAGTAGGATGACCCAGTTACTATACTGGGATGAAGCCCCGAGATCCAAAGTCACCCCTATCCTCTGGGTCTGTTTTGAGCTTTCAAGTTCATTTTACAGGATGTATTTTAGTGAGGTCAAAGGCAGGGACTCTAGAAGGAGACAGCCCTTACTGCTGTTGGTCTTGGGCAATATGGTGCCTCTAAATCTAGATTTGCAAAGTCTGTAAGATGGGACAAAAATCCTGTCTGCCACCATAGCTGTGGAAGCTGTTAGGGATTAGGAAGCTGTGTGAAGTCCCACTATGTGCAGAAATGTTCTCAGTCCATCATGTTCTCTGTCATCCCCTATGGCCTTCCTTGGATATTTGGGCAATTGTCACTCCACCTTCGAGGTAAGAATACTTCAGCCCACAGGAATAAAGCTTTGATGCTCACACAGCTGTAAGAAATAGAGCCAGCAGATTTTAGGTCTGGGCTCCTGAGCACTCCACTGACCTGGCAGAGGAAGACTGGAGAACGCTGTTCACAGTTAGTGCTCAGCCATGGCCAGCTGTTCTTAGACACCTCCAACAATGGCTGCAACAAGGTCTCCTGTTCCAAGCTCTACATTTTCATTCTGACGCTGATCTTCTCAAAGAGGTGTGTGTGTGTGTGTGTGTGTGTGTGTGTGTGTGCGCGTGCGCACGCATGTAGGTGTGTGTCCAAGGTCTCCTGCCCATCAGTGTGAACTGGGGAGGAAAGATGCTTTGTGACTGAGTCCAAAGGGCTTACAATGTTGCTTGTATCTCTGGGGTCTCTCTCAAAGTCACATGTTGTGAGGAAGCCGAGACATGTGACAGGTCATCTACGGGTTGATTAATGGTGACTATGGTTTGAATACAAAGTGTCTCCCACAGGTTCATGTGTTGAACACATGGTACAAAAGTGGTGGCACTGTTTTTGGAGGTTCTAGAAACTTCAGGAGTTGGGTCTAACTGGAATAAGTAAGTCACGGAGATGTGTCCATGTGGAATTTTATTTTGCTCTGGCCCCGTCCTGTTGTTATTCTGCTCTACTTCCTGTTGGCAATGAGGTAAATTAAACAGCCTCTATCAGACACTCTAATTGCCATGATGTTCTGTCTAGCACACTGGGCCGAGCAAGCACTGATCGAGTCATCTGAAACCCTGAGCCAAAAATAATAATTCCTCCTTTTAAGTTGTTACACTATGTATTCAGTAAAAAATGGCAATACAATAAACAAAAAATTGGTACCAGAAGAACGAGGATGTTGCTGTGGCTAAATCTGACCATGTGGTTCTTAAGCCTTTGAAATTGGTTTGTGGGAAGAATTTGGCAGAGTTTGACAAAATGGGCCAGAGAAGCCCTAGAATGCTCTAAGGCTTGCAGAACTTAATCATATTGAAGACAAGCATCTGGGCCGTTCAGGCCAGGCTCATGAGGTTTCAGATGGTACTGAGGACCAGGAGAATTCTTGTTGCATTCTGGTAAAAAATGTATCTACCTTTTTTTCCATGTTCCACTTTATGGAACTTCCACTTTATGGAAGGCTTAGTTTAAATTGATGTGCTAGTCAATCTATGTGGAGGAAGTTCTAAGATAGCATAGTATTTAAGCGATGATGTAGCTATTGCTGGCTGCTTTTCAACTAGGGTTACAGCAAGAATCAGGAGCAAAGAGCAGGTCAGAAATGTTTCCACCCTGATTTTAAGGAGAGCTGAGAGGCTAGGTAAAGCATGAAGGGATCAGAATCCCCAGGGTGATGTGTGAAGTTGTGAGACTGAAGCTTGAGCAACAGTAGAGGGCATAGGAAGACACAGAGGCCAGGAACATGGAACATTCACCTCCAGTAAGGCTGGTGCCACTGGGGTCAGGGTTTTCATATTTGTGTGGTGCTAGAAGACAAATCAGAAGGCTTAAGAGTCCTCAAACATATGGTTAGGCTTTCCTATAAGATATTTGGAAAATTTTTAAAGATGAACGGTCAGGAATCCAAATCAACCAAAAACCTCTAATAAGTCTTATAAAAATTTCAACCTCTGTTAAAACCAGCTTAATACCCATCAAGAAAGAAATGCACATTTACTTCATCTTTCCTATGAAGCAAAGGGGATTTCCTCAGTGATATTTGCAATTGTGTAAGGCAAATAGAGTTATTTTATATCATGAAAACACTAAAAATTACTAGATATTAATAGGTAATGTCAAAAGCTGATATCAAGTTAGATAAAGAAAAACAGAATACTATAGATTACCCATAAATTGGAGTTAGCTGACAAACTTTTAAAAATAACCATGATAAATATCTTTTTTTTTTTTTTGAGAGAGAGAGAGAGGATTTCTCTGCAGCTTTGAAGCCTATCCTGGCACTCACTCTGTGGCCCAGGCTGGCCTTGAATTCTCAGAGATCTGCCTGCCTCTGCTTCCTGAGTGCTGGGATATAAGGTGTGCACCACCACTACTCGGCTCATGATAAATATCTTAAATAAAGGGAAAGATAGAAAACAAATGGTGAACTGGGGGCAGGATTAAATCTATAAGAAGAAAATAAACTGAATGTGAATTCTAAAGTGAAACAATACAATATATTTCAAGTGAGTCTGAAGAAAATAGAGACAAGACTATCGAAACTTAGGTAACAGAGAAAAAGAATGAAGAACAACAAGAAATATATTAGGTAGGAAGCACTTGGAATGTAGTCTATAGGTCTAGTGTAGATATAATCAGAACATAAGAGATAAAGGAGTTTATGGATAAGAAGGAATATTTTAAGAGATAAAAGTTAAGACTGTTAAGTTATTGAAAAATAGTGCATATATCCAATAATATCAATCCCAAGACTGGTTATACTGGACACAAAGGGGACATTATAGTTTCTAGGGATAAAAATAGAGACAAAACTAACACCAGATTAGACCTAAAGGATGAAAGTTCAGAATGGTGCAATTTGCAATGGCAATGGTAACACCAGAATATGATTGGCTTCCTTCAGTATTTTCAGGAGAAACTTTCTAAATTTCTATACCTAGCAAAGCTATCAATTAGGTGCAAAGATAGGGTAAGACTATTTTAAAACATGCAAGTTCTAAAGAAATTTAAAAAATATCCATGTAACTGTTTTTTCCCTCTTTTGCATGAAGTTATTGGGGGGAGGATATGCTCTATCAAAATGAGGGGTGAAATGAAGGAAGAAAATAACTATGTAAAAAACAGGGCATGAACAAAGACATTGGGTGGCAAAGGGCCTAATGGCAGAATCTCACCTCATCGGACATGGCTTCCATCTCCTGGAGTTTGGCAATGAGCTGGTTCATGCTACCTCGTAGGTCCTGGATTTCCCCAGTGTGATGTCGTACCTTCTCCTGGTACATCCTTATCAACAAGGAGTTAAAACAAGAACTGGCTGCTTTATGATGTTGCTATTGCTACCTTTTTATGAGAAAGCCTTCAAGGAAAGACCTTAGAAAGCTTCCACTCTTCTGGGTCCATCCCCCTGCACACCACTCTCAGGTTCTTAGCCCTAAGCTTTATTCCTCTTCCTTTTGTTTGGAGTATCCATAAGTCCAGGTCAGTCCTCCCAAAATACTCATAAGTAAGAATGCTGTCACCAGGTAGTGACTTATTTTTTTCTCAGCCTCCATTTACTGAGTAGTGATTATGAACCAGTAACTATTTGGGATGTTTCACATCTTTTTTTGATGCCTATTTACCCAGAACAACATGAGAGCTTTGCCTCATCTCACAAATGAGGAGTTAAAAGTTTAGAAAAATAGAGATGACTTGCATAAACTCAGTCACATAGAATTTACAGGAGCTAGGATTTAAGTCCAGGTTGGTCTGAGTGTTGGGTCCGTATTTTTAGCTTAGGATATACATCAGATTTCAGCTATAGCTATGCTTTTTGTAAGAAAATAGGACTTACAAGTAGTTTGCTCTTACCTCAGGCTCTGCAGTGGGCTATTTATGCTGTCATCCTGGTGGAGCATTGAAGAAAGGAGGGATCTCTGTCAGGTGACCTAATCTGGGCCTGATAAGAGCTTCATCTCTCTGTTTTCTCATGGCCATTAATCCATCCATTCATCTACCTTCATATTTAATAATTTTTTTGAGACAGGGTTTTTCTCTGTAGTCCTGGCTGTCCTGGAATTAGTTGTAGACCAGGCTGGCCTTGAACTCACAGAGATCCATCTGCCTTTGCCTCCCATGTGCCTGGACTAAAGGTGTACACTACCACCCCCCAGCCATCCACCTTCGTATTTAATCTCCCATCCATTCACTCACTTACCATCTATCCAAATTTGAACTTTTCCCCTCCACCATCTACCCATTCATCCTCCTACCCATAGACCTGCCTGCTTCCTTTAAAGGGTTGCTGGTACAGCTGGAGACATGATCATGGTTACAGAAAATAAAGGAAAAGGAAAAATGTGACTTCCTTTGCTTTGGTGTGTCTGGAGGTTGTGATCTTTCAGCTAGACCTCAAAGAATACAATGGTTTACCCAGGGAGAGAGGGAGAACAGAGAGAGATCCCTCAGCACCTATGCTCCTGCTCTCTACAGGTCTCTGTGACTTTATCAGTAGCTCTGGCCACTGGTTTGCTCTTCCTTCTTCCCCAGGTAAACAAAACCTGATGGGGTGAGTCTCAATTCACTGAGGCAGAGACAGTAGAGGGAGCAATGTGACCCATCACACCTTATTTTAGGGGGGTTCTAGAGAAAGGGAGATGTGCCACTGCTGGCCTGAACGACAGGAAAGTCACCTGATGGTGAAGGGATGACTATGTGTGCTCTGTGAGAGTCACATGCCGGAGAGGGGCTCCAGGTGGGTGGGGTGACAAAGGTATCGATTTAGATCTGGGATGAGTCAAGAATGGATCATCATGCGAATTTGGTGAGAGTAGGAGGAACAACAGAGGGACTATTGATGGCTTAGCTAGGTCAGTTAGCTATGGGGCTTGCAGGGGGCTCACACTCACCTGCCAGACTTCCATTTTTGATGGTAAGTGCATGGAAAACACCCAGAAACCTGTGGGCCATGAGAACAAGAATGACCGGCTTAACTCAAAAGGTTGAAAGCTTGGGTTCTGGAATTAAGGCATCTAGGTTAGGGTTGTGTAACTTCAGGAGAAGCTAATCTCTCCAAAGCTCAGTATCCTCCTCTGTAAGTTGGGAATAGAGAAATCACTGCATCATGCCCAAACGATGTCCTCTGTGAGTTGAGCTCCACATGAACTAAATGACACGTCTTCCAACTTGTATCGCAGCCTTGCTGCCTAGTGGACTGAGAGAAGGCAGCAGGGTCTTTCCTGCATTTTAGGAGCTCCAGGTGGACTTGAATCTATTATTTAAAAGTTCTTAAAAACATATGCATTGTTTTTAACTCTAAAAAGTTTTCAAAGCATTGACTGGCTTCTGCAACTGTTTTCTGCTCTTAAGCTGCAGGGTAGCATTCAAGAGACAGATGGGGTAACCATCAGCATGAAAGACAGCGTCATCTCTGGGCTCCCTCTCCCAGAATGGGCCCAGGCCCGGAGATGCCTTGCTGTAGGCAGACCGGGAGACCCACCGAAAGCACAGAGGACCAGAAGGCCCATCTTCTCCATGAGTTTCTGACAGAGCAACTTGCACCTGAGAAGCAGAAAGGCCACTGTCAAGGTCAGCCGCAGTCTGGCAGGGTCCCCCTGTCCTCACTCCATTGTTCCATTTGCCTGTTGCTCCTTCCTATTCCCCTCCTTATTGGACTTGCTCTTCAGGCACTAACTCTAATGGCCTCTCCTACTAGGATCTCCGGAGTCACCTCACTCTGCAATTTTTTTAAATTAAAATTTTCATTTGTTTTACATAGCAACCACCGTTACCTCTCCCTCTTTTCCTCCTTTTTCCTACCTCCCACCTCCCATCGACTCCTCCATTCTGAAAGGTGCAGACCTCCCATGGGAGTCAACCAAGCATGGCATATAAAGTTGAGTCAGGACCAAGCCCCTCATCCTGCATCAAGGCTGGGGGGAGGCATCCTAGCATGGAGAATATGTTCCCAAAAGCCAACTCAAAAGTCAGGGACAGTTCCCGATCCCACTGCTAGGGGCCCCACAAACAGACCAAACTACAGATCTGTCGCCCACATACAGAGGTCCTAGATCAGTGTCATATAGGCTCCCTAGATGTCTGTCCAGAGTCTGTGAGCTCCATGTGCTCAGGTCAGCTGTCTCTGTGTCACCCTGCAATCTTAGCCTGGTACTGTTTCCCCACTTTGCTTTCGGAAGCCCACAGTGGTGGTGGAGGGCAGGGGCAAGGCTGGGTCCAGAAAAGCTATTAGGTAATATTTAAAATGTAAAGTTTAAATGAATGAATGAGGTAGGCATCTCAGAAGAAAGATTTATATAGACCAAGCAAGCACAGGGAGAGAGGTGGGTGTTGGGTGAGGTTATTCTGGCAGGAAGAACACAGGCAAAGGAGTGACATGGGAACCTGGGTAGGGTCTTCAGGGAGTGAGGTTCCATAGAGGGAGGCAGAATGAAGGCATCTAGGAAAAAAAAAAAAAAAGGGTTGGGCAAGGTACATGCTGGGGAGTTGAGCAATGGGGAACCGCAGAGGTCTGAGATGGGGGATGTGAAAAAGACAGATTGAGGATGGCTCATCTGGTCTGACTAGCAGGGGGAGAGCCAAACCAAAGAAGGTACTGTCATTGTCCCCACACCATCCTCCCCCTCTCCCGCTTACCTGCAGGTGTTAAGTAGGACTTGCTGGGCCTGAGTCCTCAGGAAGCAGGCCAGGCAGGTGAGCCAGGCTGTAGAGGAGACAGGATCGCAACAATGAGTTGTATTCTCATCTTGGTCCCATTATGAGCACTGGCTGGCTGTCCTTGGAGCTGGGAGACCCTCTTGATTTGATGGTTGAGCTCAGGATAGCCACTGTCTCAGCTTATGTAAGCAACTATAAGTTCAAGGCCTATGGGTAAGCCTTGCCAGAAGATGGCAATTAATAGAGTCTGACACTGTTAGCACACAGCAGCCCCAAAGGTGGTGTGTGCTAATGCCATCACTGGGCACTGCGAGCCTGGCAAGAGCTGTGTCCTTCTAGGGTTCATCTCTGAAGCACTGCATGGTTTAAGTTAGTAAGCAGGGGTTCAGGATAGATGAGAAGGTGGGTGTATGCATGGGGGAAGGGAGAATGGAAAAGAGGGTGAGTTCTTGGCTTGGAAGATTGGTAGATGGTAAAATGGTACCATGGAGAGCCAGAGGATTAATGGATGGATGCAGGGATGATTGTCTGCATCAACAAATGGAAATAAAGGGGAAGTAATGAATGGATCAGTGGGTGAGTGGCTAGACAGAGAATGGATGCATGGATGGATGTGTAGATGGATGCTGAATGGATTAGCTGATGAATTAATGGAGCCAACGTAGAGAAGGACTTGGGACAGTTTCTCCTATGCCAGCAAACTTTCCTTTTACTTTCCCTTCCCTTTCAGGGAGGCCCTGGGTGTGCCAACCTGTAGCTCCTTGAATATACTGCATCCAGCCTGAGTTCTAGAAGAGCCTGGTCTGAAGCTTCCCCCCACTCCCCAGCCCCTGTTACTCAAGCTTGTTCTTCCATATATATATATATACATACACATATATCCCAGTATGAACTGGGTTAAGCTGAGACCTGGGGTGTTGATGCGGAAAGGCAACAGTAGAGCATCATCTGCAGAGGACACAGACCACAAGAACATAGATCTCAAATATGGGCTTGCAGAGACCTGGGGTTCCCGGGCTTGGTGTGCACCTCTGGGCTGTTTTACCCCCAACTTTGCCAGTGAAGCCCCGGGACACCATTCTTGCTCACTCATGTTTGCTGAGGGTGCCTGTGCCGTTCTGCTGGCGTGGCTTCTTTGGATGCCTCTGTGGATGACAAGGTTCACAACCACATTTTATGTCCTCCAACGTCCATGGTGTCACCATGTTTCAGACCGAAAAGCTGTGAACCAGGGACAGACTAGGTCTGGCTGGCCTCAGATCTGGGTCTCCTTTGAGACAAGGTGCATGGGTACTGTGGCCATCAAGGGATTACCCTAACTGGCCAAAACCTGTCACAGTCTTCTCATTCCCCTTGTGGTTACTAGTTCAAGGAGAGTTGGGGAAGGGGTGGTGGCTCTGAGGGTGTGGGATTGGTAAAAGCTTTTCTTGGCTGAAATGAGGCCCATAGGAGGCTGTGCCTTGCCTCTTCCCTCCCTAGACAGTCTTGCTTCTCCATGATACTGGCCCGAGGTAGCCTGGTGACCAGCCACATGTGGTGCTAAAAAAAGAGCAAGCACAGTGAGAGCCTGGAATTTGGGATGGTGGCTTTTAGAGGCGCTGTGGGCCTTTAAGGGAGGGGGATAGGAGGTTCTTAGGTCACTGGGTACATATCTTGGAAAGGGATTGTGGGTTCCCAGACTCTTCCCGTTTTTCTCTTTGCTTCTTGACTCATGAAATGAATGTCCGTTTTATGGACTAGAATTTTCAAAGCATGAAGCAAACATTTTTCTCTTCATGATTATCACTGGTGCTTTGTTACAATGATAAAACACAGTTCGCTGGTTGTACGAACATATTATTGGCTCTTGCCAAATATAAGATACATACATTCCTGAGGCCTGTGTGGCATGGCAGGGTGACCAGTGTACCTCAAAATAGCCAGAAGACAGGACTTTACAGGTTCCCAGCACAAAGACCTTCTCATTACCCCGACCTCACCACCACGCATGTGCTACATTGCACCACATTGCACCTGATAAATACACAATTGCTTTGTGCCAACTTAAAACAAGGCATGAGATATTATACAAAAAGATGAGCTAAAATGTCAAAGTTGTAAAGAATTTTTTCCTTCCCTCCTGGTTTGTTTTGTATGCCCTCTCAGAAGTAGGCATTATTTCAAGGTGGAATTCCTGTCACCTGCATCCGGATGACTCTTGACAAAGAGGATAGAGAAATTTGTTTCCTTGACCCCAGTACTAGCCTGAGCTGCATTAGGGCAGCGAGCTTGCAATACTGTGCCTAGCTCACAGTAGGTATTCAGTAAATACACGTTGAAATGATAATTGCTTTGTACTCTGCCATTGCCAGGAGACCTTGAGGAAGCTGCTTTGAGCCTCTCTGTCCTCTGCATCTGCTTTATAAGGGCGGTTGACAAGGCCTGCTTATCCCCAAGGAACCCTAATGGGCTGGGGAAAGGCAGGAAGGAGTGCTGGTCTCACCTCCTGGACCTGGCGTTGTGGCTCGAGTCTTCAGGTAGGGCACATGAGTCCCCAGTGTTCCTTGACCGGGGCATTGATTTCCTTTTTAAAGGATGGAGCAAGAGGATGGAGACCTGTGGGAGTCAATGTGGAGGAAGTGGCTACTACTGCCACCACCAAGTCTGAATATCCCCTGGAAGGTAACATGGAATTTACTGGGTCAGGTGGAATTATCAGCTCTGTGACCTCATAGAACACTTGGATGGAGGACCCCAAGTCTGTAGCCTGTCTCCAGAAACCCCTCAGAGGAAGCCACTGTGACTGCCTTTCCATTTTGAAGATGTGAAGGTTGAAGTTGTAAGCCAGGGAGAACCCTTCCAGGGCAGAGGCAAAAATGGCGGTGCCCGTAATCAAGACACCCGCCTTGCTGCTCCTAATACTCTTTGCTGCCCCAAGTTTCCTGGGCTTATTGCCTTTTCAGGTTGCATGTGAATTGATTTTTTTCCTTAATTTTTTAAAACTTACTTTTCATTTATTCTTTGTGTCTTTCACATCATGCATTTCGATCCCTTTCATCTCCCTGCCCATTCATATCCACCCTCTGCCCTCGCAACCTCTCCCCTAAAAGTAGATTTTAAGACAAAATAAACCTTGTTGTGGAAGCTATAGTGTGGCCCAGCAACTCACACAGTACAGTAGTCCCTTAGTCCAGGCTTCTTTATTTGCAGGGTTCATTGCAGAGTCATTGGTCTGCTTTAAGGCCTCTGGTTTCTGCTCCACACCAATGCTGGGGCCTCACTGGGACTCCTCTTGGATATCCTGTTGTTCTGTGTCATGGAGATCCTGCAGCTTTGGATCTGCAGGACCAGCTCCTTCGTGTGCTCCAGCAGATCATAGATGGGGTGGATATTGGAGTGGGTCAACTCTTAACCCTGGTTCTGGGCCTGGGCAGCTGCAGGGTTGGTCTGCCCACCAGCTGCCTCCTATCCTCTCCACCAGGGTGAGCTCTCCATCATTGGCCTGGCTAGTTTACCCTCTGCAGCAATGAGTACGGGGTGGGGCCAGTTCTCCCGCTTTCATGCCCTCAGGGCCAGCTTACCAGCACTTGCACCACCAGGGCCAGCTCTACTGTGCTGCCCAGGTGAGGGGCAGGGCCCGCTCTCCCCCTCTATTGACCTTAGGGCCAGTCTCCCACCTGCCACAGGTGGTGAGGGGAAGGGAAGCATCTCTTCCTTTGCTCATGCCACCAAATGGCAGATGAGGGGTGGGGATAGATTTCCACCCTCGTGTTCCTGGAGCCAGCTCACCTGTGTCCCCATGAACAGGGTCAGCTCTACTGTGCTGCCCAGGTGAGGGGCAGGACGCACTCTCCTGAGCATTGCAGCCGGTGAGGGGCAGGGCCAGCTCTGCACAGCTCTGTCTGTGGTTGGTATCAGGAATCATGGGTATCAATACAGCCTGTGGCTGTGATAGGGCCGTGAACTCAGACATGGGCACCAGCAGCAGCCCAGGCCCAGACATCACCATGGCACTGGGTGGCAATCAAGCCACTTACTTCAGCTCACTCCTCTCTGCCTTCACCTTTTCATGTATGCTTCTGTCTGTCTCTCCCATAGCACACCATACTTTCGCTCACCATAATAGTGTCTCACTCAGTACATTCCAGCAGTGGGCACAGTGATGCACAGAAGACCCGTAAGCAGAGTACCTTGCATGTAGGAGGTGCTTGGCAAACAGGACTTGCATTGCTGCGTGGAGGCTGCAGGTTCTGGAGAAGGTGCTAGTGAAGACTCTCCCTTTGTGTCACCTGGATGTTACCCAAGTGTCCCTTGTGCTGGAAGAACTGAAGAAGAGGAAGTATTCATGTTGAAAGCAGACACAGAGAGTGGCATTGGTCAATATTTGTATGTCTCTTCACTGTGTCTGATGAGTGTGGAAAAGGACCTGTTCTTGGGCAACGGCAGGCAAAGTGCTGCTGGGAGTGGGATGTTAGCCACCTCTGAAGTCTCATTCTTTCTGCCTCTGAGAACTGGGCCAGGAGCACTGGCTGTGAGGCAGGGCTATTCCAGGAGCATTTGATGGTGTCTGCAGTTAGTTCCACAGGTGCCAGTGGGGATCCAGCTCCAGGTGGCTCTGGGCTCTAAGCCTGGTATTTGGGCTGGTGTGGTCAGCAGGAGCCACATGGGTCTCTAGAACAGGAGAGTGTCCCCCAGGTCACTTGTGTCTGTGACCCAGGTGAAGCACTCAGAAGAATGGAAGGGAGTTCCTGCAGCCAGGCCATTGCATTGGATACACATATGAGTACATGTGCATGATACCCTACCTCAGGAAGCAGCCCACTACATTCACATACACACAGGCAGCTCAAGTCACTGTCTTAGGCCCACAGTTCCTTCACTCAACATCCCAACATATCTGTACACAGAACTCTTCACCCCGTGCCCATGAGGTGACATCATTAATCAAGATGCCACCATGCCATGCCACCTATCCATCCTTAGACACCCATTATCCTCTGACACCAGTCCCTGTGACCTCACGCATGTGTACATGCAATGACACACATGCAACCTTATGCTCAAATACATGCCGTCTTTTCTCCCACAAATGATGGCTGCCCACTGTGACAGATGTGCCTTTGGGTCAGCCACACTGTCTTCTATTCCCTGTTGTGTGAAGGTTCAATGTGCGACCAAGATCAGGGCTTATTGTTGGGGATCCAGGCTCAGATAGCCTCCTCCTCCATGAGTCACATTTCCAGAAGAGCTTGGAGACACAAGGCTATCCTCCTACTCTCAGACACTCTTGTCCTTGGACCTTGACCAGGCCTGGCTAGGATGGTGAGGGGACACTCTTGGAAAGAGTCCTCCTTCCAGACAGCTACAGATCCTTGAGCCTAAACAGCCCAGTTCCAGGGTCCCTCAGCAGTTGGCAGCCATGCTTGTGTACGTGGCAGACCCATCACACAGGGGAATGGAGACACTTGGCAAGGCCATGTTTGTAGGGAAAATACTTGCAACCACAAGCAAACTAGCCACTCCCTGGCTCCTGCCTTGTGGTCTGCAGGCTGCAGAGGGGAAGCCTCAAAAAGCGGCCGTGTACCTGCTCTCCAGGCAAAGCATCTCAAGACTGAGGGTCCACCTGCCTTCAGAACCTTTGAGGTAGGAATGAGCTGCGTGGCTATTTTTCCCTCTGGTTCATGGAGATGCCACCTCCAGCCACCCCTGCAACAGGTACCACCCAACCTTTCAGGGAACATCGACAAGTGCCATCTATCGGGGCTTCAGTTAGCCAATTGGAGCATTGGCTTCTCAGTCCTGCAGCTAGGGTGAGACCCCCCTTCTCAGAGCTGGGTTCACATCTGACCAGTAGGCTGGTCTGGTCTCGGGGAACCCAGATTACTGGTCTCGGGGAACCCGGATCACTCAGGACATTCCTCACTTGGCTAGGATGACAGGGAGATGGGAGCTGTGCCCTGAGTCATCCCTGGTAAGATATAGACAGCGGAACACCAGGCTAGTCTGGCACAATGGGCTGGATATCTGTCTTCAAGTGACGAGACTGTAGGGTAACTAGGGCCAACTCCTCTTCACAGGACAGGGAACTGCTTTCCTTATCTCCATTCTCTTCTGACACTGCTTGGGTCCTGCCTCTCTGCACCACACCCCCCCTCCGCCCCCCGCAACACCTGTCTGCTGTGTTGCTTCAGAAAAGGCCGTGTTTTCCTGGGAGGTCTTGGTTATTTTCAGACACTCTTACAGAGTCTTACAAAGCAGGTAGTTCTCAACACAGAAATGCAAAAATGTGTGTGTTGTGGTTGAGAGCAGGGCTCTGACCACCACTCAGCATGGGTACAGGATGGAATGGACATGAGTGCTCAAGGGTGGGATGCATAGCTGCTCCCTGATGCTTGTTCCTACCCTGGCCAACAGATCCTGGTGCAGAGGCTGGGACAGCCATGGCTAGGGCATGCAGTCTAGGCCTGCCACTGCTGCTGCTGCTGCCAGCTGTGGTCAGTGCCTCTTTGCCTGTCACTGTGGTCCGTCTCAACAAGGCAGCACTGAACTATGGTAAGAGACCTGCCAACTTCCACCCAGTGTGTAGGTGAGAGCCATGTCTGAAAGAGTACAAGCATCTCAGAGGACCTGCATATTTCTTGTTTTTGTGTTGCTTGGGATGGGACCCAGAGCCTGGTGATTGCTGAACAAGGGCTCCACCCCTGAGCTGCAACCCAGCCTAGAACTACATCCCAGCTGGCCTAGAACTTGTGATAGTTGGATTACCAGTAGAGGACCTGGGTTTGTGTGTGTCACTGTGTCCCTCCGCTCAGTAACTAATTAGGGAGCCTGTGTTGAGCTAGTAGTGTGATTATATAACTGCGTGCACACAGCTGTGCCCTTGTGCCTTGTGTAGGTATATGCTTAAAAACAAAACCAACAACTACAACAACAAAAGCAACAAAACTGTTCCAGCGCAAAACAATACTTATTTTTAAACATGAAACTTTTTTTTTTTTGGGAAGCAGAGTCTCCTTAGGTAGCCCAGACTATCCTCGAACTCTTAGTCCTCCTGCCCCAGCCTCCCTAATTGCTGGAGCTGGAGGCATGTACTACCCCTGAACCTAGGCTATCTAACTCGAGTGGCAAGTCAGCCACTCGAGTTATAACTGTGAATTTTTGTGAGTTTGGTGTGTCAGGGAGATGTGATTTGAGCACTGAGATGGGTATGTGCCTGTGGCATGTGTCTATGTGTGCATGTATAGATATGCTGTGCACACCAAGTACAGGCATGCATATGCATGGTGTCTGTGCTCACTTATGGGCCCAGGAGAGGGGTGTCAAGTTCAGCAAGGCAGGGAGCATCCTGAAGTTGTATCTCAGCTGCAGAGAGCCAGCTGCTCTGTGCTGCCCAGGAGGTAGTGGTGAGGGTTGGAGGGGGTGAGAGTTGGGGGAGGGGCCGCAGGTCTCTCCCTTGTGGCTTTACTGCTAGGTGCTTTCAATTCCTACCCCCTCCCATGGGAAAGGCGCAATGAGGAAACTGAGGCTCACAGGAAGAACAAAGTCACAAAGGTCCAAGGTCCCAGCACAGATATCTTTATTTCTCCTCAGCTGCCTTGCAGGAAACTTTTGGGGCTCCACCAAAATGGGGTCCGGAGGTGCTTTGCCAGAGGGCAAATCCAACTCCATCAGAGTGTGAGGGACTCCATTCAGACCAGAGAAGGGACTTTAATGCCAGAACATGAAGCTGTCAGTCATCGGCATCTCCCAGGGCACAGATAGCTCTCTAGGACCTTGCATCCAGGCAGATGGACAGACAGACAAGGAAAGTGGCCAGTGATCCGTGACTCACACACGTCAGGAATGGATGCCTGGGGCAGAGACCTGAGGAGAGCCCCCTGGGGCATCTGCCCTGCCCTCTGCTTGTTCTGTGCAGGGCTCCTTTGTCCCAGGCCTCTGTTTGTTCTCCCAGGGTGGAAACCTGGCAGGAGGCCTATGCAGCCCACAGTGCTTGCCAGCCTGGATGACAGGCTTCTTCTAGAGTCCCCCCCACCACAGTTCCCAGAGTGCAGGCTCTGTGTCAAGGAGCACTGCCAGGGAGCATGGTGGATGGAGTCTCAGCTCAGCCACAGATGGCCAGACTTGGGTGGGCATCAGGAACAATGAAATCATGACATTTTGTTCCTTGCTTGGGGGAAACTGAGGCTCCAAGAGGATCAAAGACTTTTCACTGTGCTAGGAGTCTAAGCTGAGTTACAGCCTCTTGGCGTCCGTTCAGGCTTCCTTCTGAAACCATCCCAGTCTGCCTTTTTGATTCCGCTGTCCACTTAGCTGGGGCCAGCTGGCACAGGTGAAGGGATGTGAGCATGTTCGGAGTCAGGCTCCTTCATGCAGGTCTGCCTTCCTCTCAGCCCCTGTAAAGTAGACATAAGGGCAGAAGGAAGGGCTCTAGCGAGCACCTGGCACACCTGTAGCGCTCTGTGGGCACAGCACCGGCATGATGAGCATGCCTGTGCACTGACTGTTGACGACGGCCCCAGGAGATGAGCGTTGTAATCAGTGCACATGGAGAGATGGAGAAACCATGGCGCAGGGCAGCCATGCAGGCAGTGAACAGCAGAGCGAGGGTTTGTGTCCAGCACCCGGGGCACATGGGATCACGATGAAGCTGTACCCCTTCTCCCCTCCCAGGGTTGCCTCCTCAGAAACCAGGATTGGTGGGCTCAACTGGGGCTCAGACAGAGTCTTCAAGGACTCCTCTTGGAGGAATGGCATGAAGGAGGGGAAGGACGTGGAGGGCACGGTGAATAGGGCACACTCCATGGGCTGGCATGGGGCAGTCATTCCGTGTGGCACTGCAAGTTATTCCATCTGGTATCAGAGTGCCTCTGTCTGAAGGGCAGGACAGGTAATAGGTGATGCATTCTCCACGCTTGACCTCATCCTGCCCTGGACCCACAGTGTCGGACATCGGCAAAGCCCCCCTCCAGCGGGCCCTGCAGGTCCCAGTTTCAGATTTCCTGGATCGGAGTGGTGAGGTGCTTCAGTCTACCAGGTGAGTGCTCCCATCCTCCAGAGAGAGTGCCCAAGTCCTCCTGCTGCTAGCTGGAATGTTCTGCTGGCCAAGGGAGTGAATGCTTTGGCTCGTCAGGAGGGGGATTCTGAATGAGCCTTTCAAGAGTGCTCCAGCTGCCAGGTAGGTAGTCTGCCTAAAGAAGTGCTCCCATCTACTGGCCATAGTGTTCTGAACTATCAGATGAGTGTATGGATCAACAGGTGAGTAAGCCTCCCAAGGTTCGAGGCTCCCATCAGCAGGTGAGGTTATAAGAAGTCGTGGCAGATGGGGTCACTTGGTAAGCCTGCTCTCAGGGCCTGGGGTCCACAGATCTGACTATCAGCTTCTTCCTCCAAATGCTAGACACCGAATTTAGACATAAGGGCAATCCTGACTATATGCTTACCCTGTTAATGCATGAAGACCCCTATGGGGATACCAACTGAACTGCCAGAGTTTCCGGTGTTTAAGACGTCTATCTAGCTACACACTACCTACTTACCTATCTGTCAGCTATAAGTTTCTTTTTTGTTTGGGACAGGGCCTCACTATGTAACCGAGGCTAGCCTTAAACTTGAACTCGTCCTAACTCAGCTTCCTGAAACATGGTAACGGTAGGCTTGAGATACTGGGCCTAACTTATCTATCATCTCAAATGATGGAAACGAATATAAAAACTTAAAGGCACCACGGCAGTGCACAGGTCAACAAACATAGTGCACAGGCAGCTTGGGACCACAAGTTAGAGACCCCATAGGTAGGGCTGGAGTGCTGTTTATATGTTAATGGCCATGACCTTAGCAATGCACTGGATAGGTACTGAACCACCTGGATCAGAGGACCCTTGCTTTCAGCAGCAGAGCACATCCAGATGTCTGTGGCTGAATGCAGTAGGCTTAAGGTTGGCTCATTTGTGGGGATAGTCATGGATCCATGTCACCTCGGACTAAAATGAGGCAGTTGAAAGTGAAGCCATTTTCTGATGTCTGAATCATCCTAACCCTACCCTTGCCAACTACTGGGCAGGGAGAAAATGACTTTTTACTTAGGCAAAAAGGAAATCACAGAGTTGCTCATGGGCATTTCCTGTTGCTGGGAGCCAAAGATGATGCTAGAATACTCTGGGGATTTCAGTGTCTCTCTCCCCAGTTTAATATTTCCTGGGACATAATCAGAAGCTATTGGAAACCCACAGGATCACCTTGCCAAGTCCTGGCTGAGGCCAGGCCCTTCGTGCCCCCATCTGGGGGTCTTGAACGCCTCCTGTGCTGGGGCACTTACCACCTCTCTCACCCACCCATGGTCCACTCGACAAAGAGCCCTTCTTTATAACAGCCACGTGTGGGGTTGGCTCAGGGAAGCATCCCTGGAGTTGATTCTGTGTTTAATGGGAGTTCCCTTGTCCCTTGGATCCCAACCCTACAGGGTTCAGATTCTGGATGTTCACCTGCCCCGCCTCCACTTGAAATTCATTGCTGGTTTGGGGGTACACTTAACAGCGGCAATCAATTTCACGGTCAAAGTCTTTCGGTGAGTGAGTCTCCTTGCTTGTTGGAGGACAGACATTTCAGGATCTCTCCCAGGGAAGAGTGAGGGGAGAGGGTGTAACAACATCTCCACGCCCCTTCCCATCCTCTGGGGGAGTGAGGCAGGAGAGAACCCTGGAGACCTTAGCCCTGCCCCCACAGCTGTGCAGCTGGTGGAGTTGCTTGACTTCTCCAACCCTTAGTTTCTTTATCTGAGTGAGATGAACCTTGCTGGGATCTGTTAGTGTTGAATTGAATGGATTTGGTGCTTTAATTAAGGCATCTGGCCTCTTCCACTGTCTAAAGCACAGAGTAGGTGCTTAATAGATTACGTTATCAGCATTATTTATCTGTGCCAGGCAGCTTCTGTGTAACTGCATTTAATGCTCCAGTTGTACATTGACATTTCAAGGAATCCTTTATCTTTACTGCTTTGCCCTAATGTTGTGGGTGTTCCTTAGTGCTGTGATGATGAATGCTCCTTAGTGTTGTGATGGTGAGTATTGTTTAGTGCTGTGATGGTGAGTGTTCCTTAGTGTTGTGATTGTGAGTGCTCCATAGTTCTGTGATGATGAGTCATGAGTCAGCTCTTTGATGTCATGAGTGCCTCTATGTTGTGACGGTATTAGTGTCCTGTGGTACTGTAATAGGTACCCCCCCCCCCAGTGCTGAGATGCTGTTTTATGTGTGTCCTCTGTGGCTGGACATAGAGCTGGTGTTCTCACAGGGTGGGGTCTTGGAGAATCAGGCACCACCAGTCTCGTGTCCATTTCACAGAAGCGAGAGCTGAGGCTCACTGTAGCCAAATTGTGGCCCAGAGCCCTGTCAAGGGAGCCATAGAAAACCTGAGTCATACTCATGCTGTACTGTGGAGTTTGGAGGATCTAGAGGGATGGCCCAGGTCAAGGGATCTATGTAGTCTTCATACACCAGGGTGGACTAAAGTCTGACTTCCTCAGAGTTCCAGAGCCCATGGAGCTGGTGTTGTCTGTGGCCTTGCTGGCTGATGTGCGCGTGGCCCGGGATTCCATTGGGACCCTTGTGCTCAGCATCTCCACCTGCTCTTTGCTCTTCAGCCCAGCAGGCATGCTGGACAGCAGTAACAGGTGGGTTCCTGTGAGCACTGGGTCTCAGGGATTCCTGACACCAAGGCTGTGGGGCCATTATCTGAGTTTCTCACTCAAGTCTTCGTCCAGTGGCCACAAAGGACCAAGGACACTCCATCATTGCACCTGTTCTATGACTCAGCACAGGGAGGCTTGGAGAGGGTCAGGGACTTGCCTGCTGCCACACAGCCTGCATCTTAGCTACTTCTCTTTATCAGCTACCAAGACACACTAGTCAGTAGCTAGTACTTTCCTGGGCAATGAGGCCAATCAGGCTGGCCGCTGGGGCCCTTGCAGGCCACCTCTCCCTGTAGAAGTGGACAGTTCAGGGATGGGAGGTGGGGTAGAACCAGCCGATCTCTGAGCAGGTGGCTACTCCAGTCAGCCTATGAGGCTAACAGCAGCTCCACTCCAACCGCTCTGTGGATGCCACTCTTGGCTTGTCACATGAGTTGTCTCCATGAGCTCCACCAAGGGGTGTGTAAAGGTCCCCATGCCACAGGAAGCAAATGGAGGCCTAGAGTACAGGTAATTCGCAACAGGCCTTGTCATCCCATTACTGGCAAGCCCCTTCACTATGTCCGCTGCTCTTCTCTTAGCTTTGTCTAGTCTGAGGTGGCTGAGCACTGAGACGTCTTAAAAGAAGTGCACTGGTCCTGCAAGGCTTGACCTTTTCCCCAGAGTAGTGGACGCGCAGAAATTCAGCCATGCAGGGCCCCTCTTGGCTGCAGAAGGGAACCCGGTGCTCTAAACAGACAGATAACAGCTTTTCCCCTGGGAGTGAAGCGGGCTGTGACTGAGGTCAAACCCAAGAGCCACGAGGTCCTCTGGGCCATTGTTGAGAAACACCAGCGTACACCCTAGCTCAGAGGGAAACTGAAGTCCAGAGCTAGGCAGAGGGTCTTCAAAGCATCGCAGGGTGCTGGAGCCAGCTGGCTGAGAACATGGCCCCTTGGAGCTTTTGCAAGGTCCAGTGTCTGTCTTCTGTCTCTCCTGGGCCTGGCACTCCCTACAGCCATCTTGGCTTTTCCCAAACCTTCCGAGGAAGAGTCCTTTCTCTGAGACTCAAGCTTTTGCTCTGTGGGTGTGGGGACCACTGTTCTAACATGGTCTGGGGAATGGCAAAATCTCAGATGGGATCTCGGGCTCGGAGGCTGAGGGCAGAGGCTTCTGTCCCAGATGTCTGTGTGGCTCTGCCAAGAACCATGCCCAGGGCACAAAGGTACACTTCCTGTCCCTTCCCCAGTACCTCCCAGGAGCTGCTGGACCTGGTGCAGGAGCACATCAAAGCTGACCTGAGCAACAAGGTAAGGGGCTGCTGTCAGATGACTTAGCTCAGAAGGCCTGCGGCATAAGTAGGGACTGCAAGCCCTGGGGGGAGGGGCCATTGTATCTTGATGTGCATATGTGTACATGGGCGTCAATGCATATAGGTGTACTGTACATGTGTGTTTTGTGCATATGTTTGTTCATGAACATGATAGCAATATATACACATACATACATACATACATATTGCTCTTTCGCTCAAACTTTACCTCAGGAAGTGATATTTTTTAAATAGAAGGTCCTTCATGGGGTGATTCCAATTTCTTCATGAGAACAAGAAAGAGGCTCAGGAGCAGTGCTGAGGAGGAGTGGGGGGTACTCAGGCATGGGTGGAGTTTAGGGAGCTAGGGAGACAGTGGCAAATCTCCCCAGGGCAGTCCTGACTCCATGTCGGAAGGTAGAGGCAGGGAAAATGTTTTGGGGGAGACAAACTAAGAATGAACAGAGTAAGACAAACCCGATTCCCGCTCCCCACAGTCTGTGCAGTAGGCAGGCCAACCTTGGGTAAGGGTACTAAAGTAGGAGAGGGATTTGGACAGCAGAGCCAGTTTGCTGTGCTGGTTGAAATGGTAGGTCTGATCATTGCATGCAGCTAACTTGCTGAGAGATGATACCCATGAGCCCCATGTCCCACAGCCAGGGAATAGACTCTTCTTGGCCTGCCTGACTCAGTCCAACCGTAAGAGGCAGCAGCAGAAGTGTGTGCATTGACCCAGTGGGTGTCATTTCCACCCCAGATGCAATGTCACCCATGTCCTCTTCTCCAGCCTTTGGAAGCTTCTCTTGCCTTCTCAGCACCCTGAGAGGGTGGAGTCAAGCTGTTTCAAGGAGGAAAAGGACAGGACTCCAGGCTTGCTGTGCACCTGGCAGGCTTCTGGGGACACGGGCCTGTGGCCTGGCTGCTCCCCACCCACAGTTCCAAATAGCCCTCACAACAGCTTCCTCTCTTTTTGCCACAGCTGTGTTTACAAGTCTCTGGCCTGGTTCAGGACCTCAATGTCCATTTGGGCACTTTAATTGGTAAGACCTGGAGCCCAGGGGATGGGAGGGCTGGGCCCACCTTCACAGATGCCCCTGTCCTGGACCTGGAGGTGTGGTCTTCACTGTGGCTTCTGATTCTAAATAGTGCTCTCCTTTTAATTAATCTGAGAACAAGGAAGCCCCTGGGTAGGCCACATGGCTATCCACAGAACCTGGCAACCTCCAGGTTCCAGAACTTAGTCGTTAATCCTAGAATCTACCAATTTTAGGTCAAATTGCCAAAAAATCAAAATAAAACCACATGTTTAAACGGTGAGTATTACTGTTGCAGAAACTAAGCTCCACTGGCTTTCAGGATCTATTCTCACTGTCAGAACCTCAGCATTTTAGGAGGCAGGTCCTCAGAGTTGGAGAAACTTCCTGCACCCCACAGGGAAGCCACTGTGGTGAGGGGTGTGTATGTCACCGGAGGTGCTGGGGCTAACACTATGATGAGGTAGCTGTGGGTGTGAAGATGTATCACATTTGCCTGGATACTTGGATGCTGGTCTGCAGCCCTCTCAAAACGGACACACATGTGCCCATCCCCTGGGGACCGCATGATCATTAGTTCAGGTTCTGAGTCTTGATAGTGACAGAAAGGAACAAGGAGCAGGGGAGGAGTGAGAGAACGAGAAAGAGGAGGAGGGGAAGTAAAAGAAGGAAAGAGAAGAGGAGGAGAGGCAGCAGCAGAAAATGAAAGTGAAGAGAAAGAAGAAGAAGAAGGAGAAGAAGAAGAAGGAGGAGGAGGAGGAGGAGAAGGAGGAGGAGGAGAAGGAGGAGGAGGAGGAGGAGAAGAAGAAGAATTTTAAGACTAGCTGTGGTAGGATCTGAAGGCTGGAAAGCAGGCCTGTCCCACAGGCACCAGTACTTAAGCACTAGTTGCAGAAGGTGTTACATGCTGATTCGGGGACATCTTATTTGCTTCAAATCCCTCACAACCTCTCCCTTTACAGAACCTGTTCTGTCTGGGGCTTGCCAAGGGCTTTGTCACTTCCCTCATGAGCACTTTTGAAGCTGTCCTGCTTGGGGTCCACCAGCTTTGCCTTGACACTAGTGTCCTTTCCATGTGCTGTGACTGGCCATGTCAGTCAGAGCTGCCCCAATGATGCTCAGTTGATACAAGCGGGACAGTGTGAGGGGTGGGGTGGGGGGATCAGAGGACCCAGAGGCTGAGGTTATCCCAGGGACATAGGTCAGGGCTTGACTTTACCCACAGTGGGTTCTTCGGTATGTAGGCTCTGCTGTCATCCACCCCAGGTTACAATGGGAAGTAGAGGATTAGAGCCATGTCCTCTGTAGAGACAAGGCTGCTTCCACTCCTCACCCACCCATTATCCATCCACTATCTGCCCAGTTTGGAGTTATCTTGTCTCCTTGATTTCTTAGTTCCCTAGTTCCACTCAGTCTCCATATTACCTTAAATAGGAGGTGGCAAGAAGATGGAGCAACTGGGCTGGAATGAAAGGGCACACTTTGGAATTACAGTCACATTGCTCCCAGGCTGTGTCACCTTAGGGAAATTACTCATTCACACCACTCCATTCAGAAAATAGGGATGAAAATTCCCAGTTCTTGAATGTGTTGGTGTTATGAAGCAGCATGGGCTAAGGACTGGGGTCTGGCAGACGTAATAAGCAAGTGTGTGTTCCCCCTCCTGTCAGGCTTACCTTCAGCGAGGTGCCTCATGTTTGTGTTTATCCCAAAGACCAGCTCTTGCCTTTTGTCTTTGGGGGATAAAAAGGAAAATCTAATGAGGGACTCCAAGTGACTAGCCCTGGAGGATGACGCGCAGTGAGGGAAGCTGTGACTTCTTTATTTTATTGAAAAAAGACATGTATTGTAGATCCGGTGATGTAGGACTGGATGCATTTATAGTATATAAAGCGATACCCAAATTTAAGGGTGTAATGTGGAATAGTTAAGTTAACATTTCTATTGCCTCAATTATTTAGAGTCCATTAAAAAGCACAGATCAAAGGGATGTGTCAGCTGGTCACATGTCTCCAGAAGGCTGTGTAACAAAAGTGTCTTTTACTGTGGTATAAGAAAATATTGAAAAAGAAGTTTTCCTGGGATCCTGGGCTATATTTTCCACCTTCCTTATATCCTTCCTTCCTTCCTTCCTTCCTTCCTTCCTTCCTTCCTCCCTTTCCCCCCTCCCTTTCCCCTTCTCTCCAGAGTTTCTCTGTGTAGCCCTGGCTGTACTGGAACTCATTATGTAGACCAGGTTGACCTCGAACTCACAGAATATTACCTGTCTGTGCCTCCAGAGTCCTGAGATTAAAAGTGTGTGCCATCACTGCCTGGCTATATTTTCTAAATATCCACCATAACCCTAATGTTTTATTCATTTTAAACGTGCAGCAATTTGACCTTTGTGGTGTTCAGAGTGTTGACAAAAGCAGAGATAGGTGACTCGGGAGACTGGACAGTCCACCAGTGTCCAAATCCCCTCCTGTTGCCCCTGCCTCCTGCCTCCAAACTGAGACCCACTGACAAACAAGGAAGGGAGCTACACTGTGTTGCTTTTACAATAAAAAAATCTTCAAAATATTAGAAAAAATGAAATTAAACCCAGATGAGACAACAGGAAAACAGAAAGCTGAAGGGAGACATAAACTTACCAACATGTCTTTAAATATTTTAGTACATAATCTATTTTCACATATAATATTAAATACACATTTACATGCTTAACTATAACAAAACTATATGAAGCACATATGATAGACCCCTAATTGATATTTTATAGTGAATGGATTTGTTAAAGTATATGAATAGGTATTCAAAATATACATATATGTCCACTGAAGACCTGGGCTGTTGGGGCTGGACAGATGGCTCAATAATTAAGAGCACTGGCTGCTTTGCCAGAGGACATGGGTTCAATTCCTAGCACCCATATGGCAGTTCACAATTGTTATTCCAGTTCCAAGGAATTCAGCATGACACCTTCTTCTGGCATCCAGAGGCACCAGGCATACACAGATATACACGCAGGCAAAACACCCAACATATAAAAACAAATTAACTAACTAACTAACTAACAAACTGTGGGGCATCTAGGGCTTTGAGGGTAGAACTGTGGCTGGATTAGGCTCTCCTAACCTCTAGCTCTGGCCTGCCATGCCTGCAGTCATCTCTGGGGATGCGCTGGCTGCCTCTGCAATCTTCACAGGCAGAGTATTCTGACATGTTAGTAGCTCACATCCCAGGCCTCTTGGCTGTGTGTCCCTGAGAGCTGCCTTGAGGCTTTGATTGAAGTTAGAACTGTGAGTCCTTGCGCTGGTGTTTGAGTTCCTGAAGGAGACGTGTGATCAGGTGGAGAGGCTGAAGCTTTGGGAGCAGACTGACTTGTGTATGCAGTCTCAGGCAAGAATGAACTGACCCCATTGTGTGTGCAGTGAAATAACTTTGGTGAACTCTGTGGTGATGAGAAAAGAGCCATTGGAAGTCACTTGCCTGGCTGACCAGTGGGAACTCACTTCTTTTCTGTGAATCCTTCTTGCCTCTATTACATGGTACTTATGCTTGTGTTGAGCCTTCTCCTGTAAATTTGGGCTCAATAGTCTTTTGCTGATTGGGACATTAGCAAACAAACCTGTTAGAATTGTGTTTCAACCAATCAGCAGGCTGGGTGCATGTAGCAGATTTGGTTGCATGCTCTCAAGGGAAGCCTAGTGGGCTTATGACTTTGTGGCCTGGTTGTGGCTAAGAAAGGTCATTGGTAGCTGTTTGCTGGTTCAGAGAGGGCCTAGTGCTCAATGTTTTTCTGTTTTCATGAAGGGCTCAGTCCTGTGGGCCCCGAGTCTCAGATCCGCTACTCCGTGATCAGTGGGCCCACTATCACCAGTAACTATATGTCTATGGATGTCAGAGTAAGTACCTCCTGATCAGCCTGGTGCTGGCACCCTTGATGTCCTGGAAGGGTCCTAAGAGGGTGGGGGGTGAAGGGGAGAAGGCTGGTACACCAGGTGGGGGTGGGGCCCAAGTCTTCACTGCTAGGCTAGTCCCTGAGAGCCCTGGGTCTGTTATAGGCCTGCCATTCCTGATACCCTGCATGTGCGCCCCTGCCTTTTCTAGGCTATTCTCTTCCTGCTTGGCAAGGCCATCATCCTGCCTGTGCATGGTTCTCAGCCCTTTGTGTTGCCATGGCCTTCGGGTGATGAAGGTGCCATGGCAACCGTGGGGCTCTCCCAGCACCTGTTCGACTGTGCCCTTCTGATGCTGCAAAAGGCTGGTTCCCTCAACCTGGAAATCACAGGGCAGCTGGTGAGGGCTGGGTCTGTCATTCAGGTTCTGTGGCAGGGTGCCCCATGGCCTATTCTGGGGACATCCTATAGATGCGGAGTCATGGGCAGTGGGTAGCTAGAGTTGGGGCTACAGGATGGCCATTAGAAGGAATCTGTGGATAAAGAACTCTCCCCATGAGGCCAAGTGGTGGCCTTGGCTATGAAACTGCCTTAAATCCTGTCATGATGTGGACTGATTTCAGAATTCAAAGAACAACCCTCTGAACACCTCCATGCTGGGCCAGCTCATCCCTGAGGTAGGTGATTTCTTTTCATTGTAGGCCAGAGGCTCAGGGACTGGGTGGGGCCTTTACAAGCTCCATCTACTTTGGGTGTGTGTGTGTGGGGGGTGGTCAGCACCTGCCCTTTAACCCTTTCTCCTGGGCTTAAGGAATGCCCATCCCTGACAGCATGACTCTCTTCTCTGCCTCTGCCTGCAGTGAGTCTGCTGGGCCGTCTCACTCTCTTTCCTATCCCCTGCTTGCCTCTAAGATCTAGCTGAGAGTCAGTGGTACACACCGGTAACCCCAACACTTGAGAGGTAGGAAGATCACCAGCTCAAAGCCAGCCAGGGTGTATAGCAAATATTGCTTAAAATCAAAGCACAACACCAGCTGAAGAATCCCGCCTGAGGAGCTCAAGTCTGGTCCCGAGGCCTGGGTTGGACCTACCTCTGATCTCAGTCATGTATAGAGGGTGATGGCTTATCAACATCCAGCATGGAAGACTGACAATCAGGAGCCCGAACAACCCTCTCCCCGTCCCTGTCTGATGTCTCAGGTGGCTCACCAGTTTCCAGAGCCCATGCCTGTGGTACTCAAGGTACAGCTGGGTGCCACGCCCGTGGCCACACTCCACACCAACAACTCCACTCTGCAGCTGCAGCCCTTTATAGAAGTCCTCACTGCATCCCCCAACTCAGCCTTGCAACTCCTCTTCTCCCTGGATGTGGTGAGTGACAGGCCAGGTGATACCGGTTGGGTTGGGGTGATGCTCCTTGAGACCTGCTCTGTGCTCTCCTCATTCACTTTGCTTTATTTACATCTATCTCTTTTTAAAAATAATTTTTATTTCATTTGCATTGGTATTTTGCCTGCGTGTATGTCTGTGTGAAGGTGTCAGATCTCAGGGCTACAGACAGGTGTGAGCTGCCATGTAGGTGTTGGGAATTGAACCTGGGTCCTCTGAAAGAACAGCCAGTGCTCCTAACTGCTGAGCTACTTCTCCAGCCCCCACATCTATCTCTTGAACATGCCAGGACATTCTGCCTCAGGAGCTCGACACGTGTGGAACCCTCTGCATGGAGCTGCTTTCCTTTGCTTTTGGCGTGACTACTTTTTCTTCGTTTTCAGTTCTTAGCTTAAGAGTTGAAGCCTTCCTTGCTCAGAGCAGCCTTCTTGGGCCATCCTGTGTAAGAAGGTCCCTATCACTCTTTGCCTTTGTGACAGCCTCCTCTCTGGAAAGCTCCTATCTGGTTGCTCCTGGAGGGTCCCCTTGGGGAAGGGAAGGGACCCCATCTGTCCTATATATGCTGTTGTTGCTTGTAAAGTGCAGGTCACAATCTGACACTTTAGCCAGCCCTGTAAACAGGTGTGATGTACCCTGGTCCGGGAGGGGCAGAAGGCTCCACAACGCACCTTCTGACTTGCTCTCTTCCCACGCCCAGATGGTGAACCTGAACCTTCAGCTCTTTGTATCCAAGGCAAAGCTTCGGGGAACCACGTCTATGCTGGGGTAAGTGGGCCTTCTGACCCAGCAGCCTCAGACATAGTAATGAGAGCTTCAGGGGAAGTTGGCCCACCCTGAGCCCATCCCCTGCTTTTCTTTCAGGGGGGTCCAGCTTTCTGTGGTCACCTCCAATGTGGGCTCCATTGATGTGAGTGGGGCACTGGGCTGCCTTAAGCCTTGGGAAGGGATGTGGAAGTGTGAGAATGGCTCATAGCTCAGTGCCACCATAGCTCCCCTGGGATGCCTGGGGACAGGGACCTACCTGCTCTCCATATGCCCCCACTTCCTTGCCTGTCTCTCTGCCTGTGGGAAAACAGTTGATTCATCAGCTCAGTCCTCAGTCAGAGCTCATTGGTCAGTGGGACAGTTGGTACTGGCTAGTCCTTCATCACATCACATGGTCAGGCTCTGGCCACCATGCATACGTTCCTTTATCCCCATGCATCTATGGGTCATGAGTTAGTAGACCTAAGCCCCCCACCCAGTTCCATCAATCACTAGGCAGTCTGTTGGCCAGCCCTCCTGTGGTAACTCTGATGTGAGGACTAGAGCTGTCACTGGGCTGCCTGACCTCCAAGGCTGATCCAGTTGGGCATTTGATTAGGGGTCAGTTGATGTGGGAGATCTACCCTCCCCCCTCTTCCTGTGCCTCTGATGCCTATCCGTCTGTGTGTTTAACTGCATTCTCTTCGTCTTTTCGGGGGGGCTGGTCCTCCACCCTCACCCAACCCTTGGCCACGGCTGCAGATGGATCAAGTGTACACACTCATAAGCACCGTATTCCAGAAGCCCCTGCTGGATCACTTCAATGGTGAGTCCTGCTCCCACTGCTGTGGCCCCTTTGGTGCCCTCTTGAACCCACATCCTCTGTGCCTGTCCAAGTCCCCAAGCCCTCTCAGGCTCAAAGACTAAGGGGGTAGCTTTGGGGGGGCATCTGCCTATGCCTCTTGGCACATGTTTGTGTAGCCATTGTATGGTCTCCTGGTGTCATCTCAGTTCCCTTCTGTACTATGAGGGTGATCCCTCCTCCCGCTCTAGATTTCACAGTGTTCACAAGCTTCTAGCACAGGGCTGGCTGGCTGCAGGTGGGGCTCTTCCTTCTGACTAACTTGGACACTTCTGTCTCAATGCAGCTCTCCTGGGCATGGGGATTGCCCTCCCTAGTGTGCTCAATCTCCACTATGTCCACTCGGAGGTCTCTGTCTGTGAGGTGAGAGCCATTGAGTGGCCAGGGAACCTCTTTGTAAGGGGGGAAGCATCGCCCCTCTGGAAGCTCATCCTGCATCTTCCAAGACCACCCAACAAACTTTAACTGTAATGTGATGGAGGAGTCAGGACCTGAGAGACCATGGTGGGAGGGATTCCTCCTTTCTCATCACACCTCATACTGGAGACTTCAGGTCTTCAACTGTTTCATGATCCTGTGTCCTGAGATGGGCTTGGCCCCTTTGTGTCTTAGGTGAATGGTAGAGAACTTCCTTGCAACATGGCAGGCAACTCTGCAGCTGGCTGGGTGAACTTGGCAACTTCCTGAACCTTCTGTGATTATTGTCCCCGGGTCTGGAAGTGTAGGTCCAAGATGAAATTCATCCTGACACAGCCAGGATGATCCCCTATGATCTCTTCCTGTCTCACCCAGGAACTCAGAGCAAATTCTCTCAATGGGCTGAACACAGGGCAGGAAATGGGACAAGGGTCCAAAGTGGGGCTTGCCATTGTCTGTTCAGGGAAGATGCTCACCCTAGTTATTGAAGAATGGCGGCCTCATGATGATCCACTCTCACGAAGATGGATAGCCTAGGGGCCGAGGAAATGGCTCAGTAGATAAGTACTTGCTGTGCAAGTGTGAAGATTCTGGTTTAGAGTCCCAGTGGTCACACTGGTCAGGTGTGATGGCCCAACTGTAATCCCAGCACCCAGGAGGCAGAGACAGGGTTCTCTAGGGTGAGCTGGCTACCAAGACTATGTGAGCTCCAGGTTCAGCAAGAAGCCCACCTCAGTAAATAAAGCAGGGAACAACCGAGGAAGTCATATGATGTTAACCTCTAGCCTCTATGTACATGAATGTGAATATATGCAATATATGCACACCACACACACATAGACTTGCAAAAACAAAAGGATAAAAAAGAGGGACAGTTAAAACACAGAGAAATTGGGACTGTTGGTGGGAATTGCCACAATACATACTCCATTATGCATGACAGAATTTTCTGAAGTGACTTGAATCAGCATTGCCCAAGGCTGTCACTTGGCATATGGGACTGTTAAAATGGGACTTTGTGAGTGAAGACCTGAATTTTAATTTTTAAAAACTTAGCAGGCTGTAGTGGTACATGCTTGCAGTCCCAGAACTTGGGAGATGGAGGCAAGAGGATCAGAACATCATCCTTGGGTACATAGACAGTTTGAGGTTAGACTGAAATCTCTTCTTCCCTCTCCTAATTAACACACATTATTTGTGTTAGCCATATAAGGCTAATGGTTGCTAGACTAGACCACTAACTCTGGCTACCTATGGAGACAGGGACTGAGTCTCATTTGTTCTCTGTTGAATTCTCAGCATCTTCCATAGGGTTTGGTGTATGGCAGAGGCTCAGCAGAGGCTTGATAAACGAATGAACAAATGAACAGATAGATGAATGATGAATGAATGGCGAGCAGCACTCAAGCATGTTCATTTCAGTGGTGCAATGTGGAGAGCATGTGAGGTACAGGCAATGCCTGGCTCTGCTAGGGAAGTCGGGGCTTGGAGTAGGAACCCAGGCTCACTCTTGGTCAGGAAACAGCAATGACACAGGCTTTATGCCTGGAGCATAGAGCATGTGCTAGTCTCATGCTGACCCACCTCTTGAGGGGCTCTCCCTCCATAGCCTTGTGAGGTGAGTGCTGCTAATTTTTTTTTTTTTTTTTTTTTTTTTTTGAGATAGGGTTTCTCTGAGTAACAGTCCTGGCTGTCCTGGAACTCTTTCTGTAAACGAGGCTGGCCTCGAACTCACATTAATCTGTGTCTCTGCCTCCTAAGTGCTGGGATTAAAGGTGTGCACCACCACTGCCTGGCAAATGCTGCTACTTGAGTGACAGAGTAGGAGACTGAGGGCCAGTGAGGTGATGGCCTCTCCTGATGAGGACACTACCCAGAGACAAGTTGAGGGGGCAGCCAGGGGTCCCTCATAGGCCTCTGAGTTAGCCTATGCTTTTCTTGGTCTTCCAGGGATATGTTGTGATATCCAGTGGATTCGCCTACCAGCGCTGAGCCAGGATTATGAGGAGGGCCAGCTATTCAAGAGCCTTCTTTCCCCAAGCCTGGGGACACTGAGGCAGAGCCATGTGGAATCATCATCAGCAATCCAGACTGCCTTCCAGGCTGCTTAATCTTTGCTGGACACCCAGGTCTCTCTCTTGTCTCCTCCCTCCTTCTTGTGCCCCTCCTGGGGAGGAGGAAGCTACTGGCTACAAGCTGTGCAGACCTGCTCACTTCAGCATTAAATGTCTTCTCTTGAGTTGAAACTCCCTTGATGCTGTGTACCTGAGGCCAGACTCTGTGTGCAGCTCCTGGGTCCTGGCTATCTTCAGAGCCTCCCAAGCTGTCCCAGAGAGGATGGGAGCCTATCTCTGCTGACCATGCCTGTCAACTCTTACTCCTTGACCAGAAAGCTCCTATGCTGAAAGAGGACCCCGGAGAGACAAGAATGAGCTAAAGATTATGAGTAGTACATGTTCAGGCACTATGCCTTCTGCCTGGTGGCATTCCCTGCCTTGCTATTAGAAGGTCAGATGACCCCTGTGAGACAAGTAGGCAGGCATGCTCAGAGTTCCTTCTGAGGGACGAAGATATTAATGTCTAGTGAGGTGGGGGACACACCCAGAGTTCCAGAGCTGGACAGATCAAGGACTGTGATCTTCCCAGCATCTCAAGAGTATGCCCAGTGCCCCCCCCCCATTTACCAGCATCCTCTATGCCCATTTTTGTCTCTATTTCCCAAATTTCAGGCGACAAGTTCACAATCTTTTCAAGCACCCTTTCCAACTTTGGCTTTCTCATCACAAGCAAGCTTTTTATTCAAAGAAGCAAGATCTGCTTCTGGGCTCTGCTCTCAAGCATGTGTCTAACTCTTGTTCGCTGGAGAGTTTCTGAGACTCACTGAAACATGGGGCTGGGCAGGGCTAGGGACTCAGTACCTGCAAGCTAAGTCTTGTGATCTTTCTCCCTGATAGGCTAATCTCTAAGCCATGGATTCCTTCCTGGCTGAACACAGGGCTCATGTTCTGTGTGTTTCTTCAGGGGAAGTAGAAGGTGCCTGGGTTTTCCACATCAGCCAGCAAAGCCTTGGTGGCTCGGGTGGTGCCACTCCACCCACCTACTTACCCCAAGGTCATGTGTGCACTCAAGAGTGGCAGGGAGTGAGCAGACCCAGCTCCATCTTGGTGATGACAGGAAATCAGAATGAAAGAGGAAAAAGGGCAGGCTACAGAATCCTTCCCGGTGACTTCACCCAGGTCAGCATGTCTTTTAGTTGGGGGGGGTTGCTCAGTTAATTAATTTATAATTATACATTTACTGTGTAAGCTCTGTCCTAAGCTGGATGTCACTGTGTTTGTGGCTTTCCTCCTCACTTCGAGGGGAGGATTGACAAAAACGACTTACAGGGTTCAGGAGACTTTGCCCATCATGGCAGGGAAGGCAAGGGGATAGGAGCAGCTCCTGTTGAGAGTGGGAAACATTTAGAAAGTTCACATCCAAGCCACAACATAACCCAAGCCCATAAGGAAGTTAATGACATAGAGAAAGGTCATGAGCTCAGTATGCAGGATCCAACCTGCCCATCATTCTTTCTCTTCCTTTCATTTAATTGTCCTTTCATCTATCCACCCCACCTGTATTTTTGTTGTTTTAAAGACAAGATTTTACTATAATATTTAGTCCAGGTTGGCACTGAATTGATGAGCTTCCTCTCTCCTTACCTTCCAAAGTGCTGGCATTACGGGTGCGTGCCACCTTGCCAGCCCAATCCACCTACTAACACAACTATCCATCCATCTTTCCACCCATCAGTTCATATGCACTTGCATTCATTTGTTCATCCATCCACTTATCAGTCCATATACCCTTATATTCACTTGTGCATCCATCCATGCATCTATCCATCTACATGCTTCTCCCCCTACCTTCCTTATCCATCATCTTCCCTCTCATCAGTTTACCAATCTGCTTATTTCATTATTCCTTTCCTCAGTATTCAGTCAGGTGCCTGCTGGGTACTGGGTGATGAGAGGTATGGTGAGTGCCACAGGGTGGGACCAGTGGAAGAGAGAACCATAGAGCACATCAATAGGCACTCCCAGCAGGAAGCCTCACCACTCTGTGGAGACTGAGGCTGTGCAGAGGCTGAGCAGGTCCACACTCAGAACAGATGAACGCCTCAGAGCAGAGTGGTGGCAAATTGCTATATGATACCAGGGAGCAGAGAGCAGCTCAGGTTCGGTTCCTGGACAAACACGCCATTGCCCCCCTGCATGGTCCCCTTTTAACTTTCAACCTGGAGCCCACACAGGTCCCCTGAGGCCTTTGCTGCCACTCCGCTCTTTGTGGCTATGCTTGCCACAGCCTGATATCTTCTGGGCACCAGCTCTTATGTGGCCTCTTCTAGTCACAGAGTCTAGGCCCTGCAGCGTATTGTCCTTTAGTCCTCAAGCCTCTTTCCAGGTTACTCTGATATCCTTCAACTACAGTTATTGGAGTAGATGAGCTAGATATCAGGGGCTTCTTTCACACTCGATTCCCTGCTCTGGCCCTTCCCAGAGTTCATCATAGTAAGTTTGCAAGGTATGAATTGCTTGTACATGACTGTGCTGGAGCCACTTGCAGGAGTCATCTGGGGTGGATGGAGGCTGCTGGGCTTGAATTGCCCTTGCTGGGTCCTTGAGGGCCTGAGGGGAAGGAAAGAGGATGCGGAGCCTCAGGGGTCTGAGACAAGGGAGAGGAAAGACACAGGCTTCCTCTCTGGAGGAGGAAGAGTCCCACTGGCTGAGAAGGGTGGCTGGACTTGGAGCAGTGATGGGACAAGTTGTAAGGGTCCCAGAAGAGGACACAGTGAAGGGACATTAGAAAGGTGGGCAGGAGCCCACTGGGTGAGCCTTGGCAGGTTTTCGATGGGTTCTGGAGCTCTTAGACACAGGCAACTCCTGTCCAGGACACCTATTTGCTGTGTGATTTTGGGCAAATGGCTTGTCTTGTCTGAGCCCCAGTTTCTCTCTATATATAAAAAAGGGGATATTGTCATGTGCTTATCTCTCTGGGTAGTTTTGACTCTGGCCCAGCTGAGCTGTTCAAGAGATAGTCACTTATCACTGAATCATAAAGTTCTGCCTTTAGATTGGGAGAAATTGTAGCTTAAGGAGATAGAGAGAGCTGCCATGGCAACATGACTTGGGAGGACAGCAGCTGGGATGGGGCTTCTAATCCCTTAATCTTGTAAAGGACATTTTGTGCCTTCTCACAGTAGCATCCTTCAATTTGCCATCCTTTACCTTCCCAAGTGCCCAGTCTGGCCGAGGGGCAGTGGGTGTTTTGTGGGCTCAGGAGACTGAGCCACCTGGCTTCTCTGTGTGTGGTGGAGTGCAGTGGTAGGAAAAGAGAGATGCTCGCTGAACCTCGCAGATCAAGATGGAGCCTGGGCAGGCTGCTGGAGCCAGCTCTTGCCTGTCAACCCTGCCATGATCTCAGCAGGTCTCATCTACTCAAGGCCTTATGTGACCATGGGCATAGTGGTTCCTGTCGACTTCCAGACTGTGGGTTCCTTGAGGGGGGAAACATGAAAAGCCAAGGCCCCATTAGCTCTTTGGATTGTTCACCAAGCATAGAGACCCTTGAAGTATCCCCAGGCTAGGCCTTCCCAGGAACTCCTGCGGACCAAAGTTAAAGCTGGGCACCCGGAGGCTTAGGACCCTGGAGTCATTTCTGCCTTCATGGGCACTGGACTCCTTTATTATGCCCCCATACAACTTCTAGGAGGGTTCCTCCTAGACTTGACATGTCCCCTCAAGAAGGGAACCTCAGGGACAGTTCCTCCAGGTCCATCAAGTATCTTGGTCTTTGCACCTGCCCACCAGGGACATGGTTCCCTCGGGCATCAGCGGCAACATCTCGGCTGTAGGGATCTCCCAGCCCCCATAGCATCTCGTCCTTCCATCTGTCCCATTCCCCTGGCTTAGTGGCTTCCACCTGCCTTACCTCCCTCAGGAATGATGTGGACTTGTGCTGGTGACTTGCACAGTGTTCTTTCCGGGATAGGAACCTCAACTGTCACATACACTGTGGTCATCCCAGTGCCCTGCATAGGCCTGGAACACAGTAGGTGCTCAATAAGTATTGCTTGAAGTCCTGAATGTATACGTACTGTGTGTTCAACCTTGGGGAAGGTATAAGTTAGAGAGAGGGAGAGCCAGGGGCCTGGTGTCCTCTGGGTCAGTCACATCTGTCTCTTATACTGGTCTTAGTGCAGCCCTTGGGCTGCCCAGCCACCCTCTTCTGTGCTATTTGTGTTGGAACAGAACAATTGCTCATGTGAGCTCTGGGGCTCCTGTTCTCTGTGACTCTAGATAATTATCTACCCCTTATTAAGCCCTTAATTATCCAAGCAGCTAATCAGGCTCCAGAATATAAGGGTTCCCTCGTCACAGGATTGGAGGCAAGGGGCTGTCAGCTGCAGGACTTCCCCAAGCTTGGCACGGTAAGGACAGTTGCCCACCTGCAGCTAGCTCTTCCTTGAGTGTCTCATCTACTCAAGTTGGTAACTGACATTTTACAAAGGAGAAAGCCGAGGCTGCGGAGGGGAAGGAACTTAGCTGCGGCTGTTCAGCGAATGGGGGGATGTAGGGCTTGTGTCTATGACCTTGTTCCCTGTCTGCTGCTCTCACTCACAGGTAGCCCCTGAACGCTGCTGTCTTCAAACACACAGAGCTCAGGGTGGCTAGGTGGGCAGCAGAGTCAGCAGGCCCCTGTGGCTCCAACCAGGGGCCCAGGGAGAGGAAGGAGGGAAGCCTAGTCTGAGCTATGGAGGCTGAGAGCTCAGCTGGCCCTCAAGGGCTGGAGTGGGCAGCAGAGCAGCACAGTGGTTAGTTCCTATTGGTTCTGAGGACTTTGAGGCTGTGAGTGGGAGAGGAACCTTGCTGGTGGTGGAGGTGAGGGCTGAAAGGAACCCTCAAGGGCAGGCAGATGGGAGGTGGCTGAAGGGCAGGGATTGCAAATGGGAGGCAAAAGTGCAAAACCAGAACCCTGTTATCTCCATGTCTCCTGGGAATACAGCATGGCCTTTTTGTTCTAACATGGTGAAAACTCTCCCTGAGCCAGCAGTGAAGCATGGCATTGGCCCTGGCCTGG